CTCAGCTGACCTGCCACCAGTTTCCTACTACCTTTTGAATGTGTGACCACCCCTTTCACTCCCAGCAACGACTGTGCCCTTACCCTTTCAAATCAATAAAGCAGCAGCTTCTCCTTGAGTTTGTTTCACTCCCCCCCAGGTCAGAAGTTATGTCCTGGGACTATACTTGCTTCACCCCAAGCTGGGAAAAAGAAGTTCCTCTCCTCATTAATGGAAACAGCCACACGCCATTGCAAACCGCCATTTTGTAGGCTCTCTACCTACCACTTCCCCGTTTTCACCAGGTCCTAAAACACAAACACAACTTTTTCTTGCCCTGCTATCTGTTCTAACTGCTTCTTAAATTCGACTCTTTTCCCCTTCTGTCCTCGCCTAGGCTCTTTGAATGGACCCTCAAGGTTTCCTCTCCAGTGAATAGACTCTTCCTGTTGCTCACCACGCAGCCCTCTCCATTGCCTTCCCCAGCCTGGACAGACACATTGGTCTTGCTCATCCCCCCACCCCTACTCTCTGTGTTTTCTCCTGCCTCTCTCATCCTTTTTTCTTGGGTTACTTTGATGGCTTCTCTTCATCTGCTCATCTTATATTTGTGCATTATCTCCAAATCCTGTTGTAGCCTTTCTATACCTGTTTGATCTCCACTCTTAGGAGCTCACTTTTTCAGCCCTCCCTACTTACCAAAAGTTCATGAGTCTTCTCCTTAGCCCTATTCATCACACTCACTGCCACTCCCGGCATTAACAGCTTTCTGCAGGCATTTCTTCATGAGCAGCCAGCCAAAATCTTAGATTCAACAGCCCACCCTGAATCAGTCCTTCTGCTTAACTCCCAACTGTCTCTTTTCCTTGTTCTCCTGCTTTTGTTAGCAACTGAGCTATTCCTCCTGCCGCACAGGCTAAAACCTTGGGGTCCTTTTGATGTTATTTTTAAACAGCTTTATTGAGATAGAATTACCTATCATATTGTATCATATAACTCATCAATTTAAACTGTACAATTTTTTTTTTTTTTTTTTTTTTTTTTTTTTTTTTTTTTTGAGACGGAGTCTCGCTCTGTCGCCGGGGCTGGAGCGCAGTGGCCGGATCTCAGCTCACTGCAAGCTCCGCCTCCCGGGTTTACGCCATTCTCCCGCCTCAGCCTCCTGTGTAGCTGGGACTACAGGCGCCCGCCACCTCGCCCGGCTAGTTTTTTGTATTTTTTTAGTAGAGACGGGGTTTCACCGTGTTCGCCAGGATGGTCTCGATCTCCTGACCTCGTGATCCGCCCGTCTCGGCCTCCCAAAGTGCTGGGATTACAGGCTTGAGCCACCGCGCCCGGCCATAAACTGTACAATTTTTTTAAGTATATTCACAGAGTTGTACAACCATCACCACAATGGATTTGAAGCTATTTTTACCCCCACCAAAAAGCCTTACCCATTGGCAGTCATTCCTTTTTCCCCCAACCCCAAGTCCCTGGCAGCCACTAATGTGCTTTCCATCTCTGGATTTTTCCATTCTAGACATTTCATATACATGCAGACGTACAATAGGTGACTTTTGTGACTGGCTTCCTTTAGCATGTTTTCAAGGTTCATCCATATTGTAACATGTATCAGTACTTCATCCCTTTTTATAGCTGAATAATATTCCTTTACATAGATGTATTACATATTATCCATTTTTCAGGGGATGGACATTTAGGTTTCCAACTTTTTGCCTATTATGAATAATGCTGCTATGAACATTCATGTACAAGTCTTTATGTGAATGTACATTTTCCATTTTATTTGTATCTACCTAGCAGAATTATAATTCCATGTTTAACATTTTGAGGAATTGCCACATTTTCAATTGTTTTCTGTACCATTTTGCATTCCTGTTAGCAAGTATGAGGGGTCCAGTTCTGCACATCCTTACCAACACTTACTATCTTTTCTATAATCTAGTCATCCTAGTAGATGTGAAAGGGTTTCTCTCACTGTGGTTTTTATTTGCTTTTCAGTGATGGCTAATGATGTTGGGTTTCTTTTCATGTGTTTATTGGCCATTTGTATATCTTCCTTTGGGGAAATGTTTATTCAAATCCTTTATCCAGTTTTAAATTGGGTTGTCTTTTTATTGTTGAGTTGCAAGGGTTCCTTTATTAGATATATAATTTGCAAAGGATTTCTCCAATTCTGTGGGTTGTCTTCACTTTCTTGATGGTGTTCATTAAAGCACAAAAGTTTTAAATGTGGTGAAGTTCAATTTAACTATTTTTTCTTTTGTCATTTGTGCTTTTGGTGTCACATCTAAGAAGGTTTTGCCTAACTAACGTCATGAGGATTTACTCCTTTATTTTATTTTATTTTATTTTATTATTATTTTTTTTTTTTTGGTGGTTGTTGTTGTTGTTGAGATGGAGTCTTACTCTCTCACTCAGGCTATAGTGTAGTGGCATGATCTTGGCTTACAGCAACCTCCGCCTCCCAGGTTCAAGCGATTATCCTGCCTCAGCCTCCTGAGTAGCTGGTATTACAGGCACCTGCCACTATGCCCAACTAATTTTTTGTATTTTTAATAGAGACAAGGTTTCACCATGTTGGCCAGGCTGGTCTCGAACTCCTGACCTTGTGATTCGGCCTCCCAAAGTGCTGGGATTACAGGCATGAACCACCATGCCCAGCCTCCTTTGTTTTCTTCTAAGAGCTTTAGAGTTTAATTCTTACATTTAAGTCTATGATTACGGTTAATTTGTGTGTACGTTATTGTTTTACATGTAGATATGCAGTTGTCCCAGCACCATTTGCTCAAAAGAGGAGTCCTTTTGAGTGTCCCCTTTATTTAATGTCTTATTCCAATCTGTCACCAAATTTTGCTCTTTTTCCCCTTTAAAATGTTGAGTCATCCTTTCACTACTACCACCAGTTCCCAATCAAAATTTTCACCATCTCACACCTAGGTAACTGCATTTGCATCTATCCTTCCAGACTCTGCAAGCCAACCCTTCTAGGGGAGAAGCTTTCAGAAATGGAATTGAACTCACATTCAATTGTGAGTTCAGGAGGAGTTCCTACTATAATGTATACAGCATGAGGGCAAACTCCTGGTTCTGACTTCTCTAATCTGACCCCACCATGTCCACATCAACAGATCAAAGGCCCAAAACTTCATCATAGTTCAACTTCTCACTGAAGTGGAATTCTCTTTCTGCTATCCCTTTCCCTTCACCTTCTTCCTTTCTTTGCACTAAAATTAACTAAAATTAAAATTTAGTTAAAATTCTGTGGGTCCTGAAAGTCTCCTCCAAACCCCAGCTCCTTGCTAAAGCCTCCCTTGACCACTCCAGCCCTCACCAATCCTCTCTGACTTCCTACTACATTTGTGTGCTCTGCGGCACCAGTCATTACACAGATGACATTGGTACACACAATTCCACTCTACCACCCAATATCAATGAGCATTTATCGAGCATCAACTGAAGATCACAGCATTGTGCAGGCAGGATACGTATCATACAAATGCTGTTTCCTCCTCCCATCAAATGAGGGAGAATTAGATTTTAAAAAATTCTTCCTAGTTCTACAACCAGTATTGTATACTGATTCAATTTAGAAGTTTAAGTTTAAAATTAATTCAAGGATTCCAGTTGAGAAAATGGTCCCATTTCCTTGGAAAGTAAACTAGCTAGGTCACCAGGCTAGGTTACCCACATTATAATTGCTTGTGACTTACTACTCCACCCTATTAATGATGACGTGCCCCCGACTTGAGATGCAGGCATTAGGGTATCTGTTATTTGTTCTGCAGCTTAAACTGGGAGACCACTCCAAATCCTCAAAGTTAACTTAGAGTATCAGATTGCAATCCTTCCCCCCACCACCATTAAAAAAAAAAAAAAAAAAAACTTTCAAATTGAAGAGGCAAAGTTTGATCCTTTCCTTGTTGAGAGATGAGAACAATAGCAGCTTTCTGCTCTAGCACAGCTTCAAAAGGCTGCCGAGGGACTGCTCTGAGAATTCTTGGTTGTAGATAACTGAAGAAATGCATGTGCAGCCTCCTGCGATTCAGTGCCGCATTAGCACGGGGGAAATAATTCTGCCCCCACCCTCCCAGAACCTTTAGTATAGCAACGATTTAACTAGGCAGATATTGGCAATTGCAAAGTTGAGTCTCCTTGGCAAGGAAGGGGGAGATCCAGCCAGTTAAGAAACATCTTACTGTGAAAGTCCAAAGAATTAAGAATTTGCTGAAATGATCTAAATAATATCTAGATTTTTAAAAAATCAGCTGGAGAGGGGTGACTGTCTAGTTGGATTTATGCCAGAGCCGTGCATCCCTTCTTGCTTCAAGAAAATGCCCGAGGCGAGGTACCAAGCTTGGGCTCGAAGTAGCAACCCCAGAGTTAATCCCAGAGAGCGCAGAGCTGGTCCGTCCCCTGAGCAAGTGTCGCTGCGGGTTCACCTATCCGCCTCTTCCTCTCTCAGGTGGCAAGCAGTTGGCGCTCGCCGCCCGCCCGCGAAGAAACTGCAATGCAAACTTCCCAGCCTCGGAACCCCGCTGCTTGGAGAGCAGCTCCGCTGTGCCAGCCGCAGCCAGGAGACTGGTATTCAACCTCCCCGCCCCCCGCCACGGTTAAAGTTTGCTCCACATTCGCAGCTCCCACCCCACCCCCATCTCCGCCCCGAGGCAGGAGGACCACATAGGAGTTCCTGGGTCCACCGTGCGCAAACACACCCACCAACAAAAGAAAGCCCATTAAATCTTCCCTCCTGTGAACTCGCGCCCCAGCGGATACCTCTTTGAACTGACCCCCGCCCCCGCAGCCCCCGCGCTGTCTGGGGCGCGCCTGGCCCTCCTGGGCATGCTCCCTCCCCCCGGCTGCGCACTTTTGCAGCGCGCTCGGTCTTTGATGTCTCTTTACATTATGGCAGAGCAGCCACACGCTCTTCCCGGGCGCAGGGCTTTGTGTAATGGAACTGACATTTGGCCTTGATACCTGTATCTCTTGGTGATTGCAACAAATTTCTAAAATAAATATTGTACTTTGATCTCCCAGCATTGCATTTTTAATGGACGCTCTCAACATTACTTCATTAAGAACTTTTTTCAGGAGCTCCGAGGGCCAAGGGGGTTGGGGGAGACTAAACAGCTATTCGGCAAAGTCTCTCTCCAAACTTCAGCTGGGGCCTGGGAGGACCGGACTCTGGGCGGGTTTTCACAAATGGAGATGAGGCCGAGAGCAGCCGACTGCGACCACTCAAGAGAGGGCCTTCTGTACGCTCAGCACAGTCCTAAAGACCTTGCATATATTAACTCTTAAACCTACAGCCACTCTACAAGGGGTGCACTATTGTAACTCCCATTTTACAAACCGCAAAACTGAGGTACACAGAGGCTGAGTACCTTGCTTGCCAAGGTCACCAACTAGAAAGTGTCAAGGCGGGAAAAATGTCTTCAGAGAGCTCGGACTCCGAGCTCTTAACCACCAAGCCACTAACTTTCACCCTGTTGCCCACTGATGGTGGTTTAACTGACTAGTGGGGGCATCTTGAAGAAAAAGCTAACTCCTATAACTATGGAGATGTGAAACGGCTCTTCTGGCCTTTTTGGGAAAGTAGCTATCAGATTCAACAAAAAGGGCTGCCTTAGCCAGGCCCTGCAAGCCTTCCTGGGAAAGGAGACTTCGAAGAGCTCAAGGGAGCTAGAAAGGAAACAAGCGCTAAGGCACCAGATCGCTTCGACGGTGCGGGCATGTGCAGGCGCGAGTGCGTGCCAAGGGACTCTCTGGCCTCTGACTTGCATCCGGGAAAGGGCTCCCTCGGGTCCCACGCTTCTCCAAGACTCAAACCCTGGACCGGACCGTGGTAAGGAGCAGGTCGGCCACGCCTCCGATGAAACCACTAAGGTCTCTCCCCTTCTCCGCTCCCAGAGCAGCTGATCTCATCTTCAGAAGCCAGATCGGGTTGGCCAAGCTCTGTGGTCGCCGCTCGCGTTCTAGAGGGGACAGCTCATTGCGGGAGAAGGGCGCGGTGCGAGTGCAGGATGTGCGAGGGACCCATTGTTTTTGGGTCGCAAGCAGCCCACCCGTCTTCAGTACGATATTCTCTCCCGCAGTCTCGCCCGTGGGAGAAGGTGGGCCCGGAGGCATCGCGTCCCCGACCCCTGATGGAAGTGCGGAGGGCATCCTTATACGGCCCAGACTCCGAGTCCGCTGTAGTTAGGCTAACCTCTGACGCTGCACTGGGAGATAGGTCATCCCGTCCGTCGTCTCCCGTCCGTCCCCGGTCGCGGTGCGGTTCCGTGAGGAAGACGGGCAGAGAGGCCGGGCGCGAGCTGATTAGGGGCTCCCCCACGGTCGGCGGCCTGGAGAGTGGAGACCGTGTCCGCCAGGAGGTGGGTGGGGGAAAGGAGTAGGCCGAGCTCTGCAGTGCGGTCTCGCGAGCCGGGGCCGCTAGGCCTCCAACACGGTTCCGCGCCCCTAATGCCCCAGGGCGGTGAGGACCCCTCGGCGCCCCGCCCATCTCTTCCTCCTTCCCGGCCCGCGCGCCCTGGGGAAGCGATCCCGGGGGAAGTGATCCCGGGGTCTGCAGTACCGGGGCAGGACGCGCCTTGCGCCCTGGGCCTGGAGGAGGCAGACGGCCCTCCTCGGCAGGAAGTGAGCGGCCAGGGAGGGATGGGGATCACCCAAGCCCCGGAAAGCGCGACCCTGCCCATGGCAAAGCACGCCCCGCGCCTGGTGAGGAACTTTTTGTTTCCAAAGGTGACAGGAACAAATTTGTACTGACTTTTCTCCCCCCTTCGGGGTTCTCTCTAATATGATTTGTGGTTTGTGGAACCACAACAACCAGGCTTCCTAGACCGCGCCTCACTTTTTTCGAGTAGTTCTTGGTCTGTCAGGCTTGCGAGAGCGCGCGCTGCCTTGGCGGGGCTCCGAGCGAGAAATCACCAGCGGTACTGGGGCTTTCGGCCCCCCACAGCCCGGCCCGGGCCTCCTGGGGGTCCAGGGTGGCCTAGGGAGAAGGGGGCGGAACAGCACAGCTTCTCCCCCTCAGATGGGCATGACGGGTCGCCTTGGGTGTCCTGCCAAGCTCAGCTTTGAGGGTATGCGCGGCGCGGGTGTTTTTCCCAGGTCCACACTTTGCAAAAGTTGTGGCCTGAGGAAAACTTCCAGGTCGCCAGCAGGAACGTCACAGGAGAGCCCCGGTAGCTCGTCAGGCGGGTGGCCCTGGAGCGTGCGCGCCACCCAACGCCGCGCTGGGCGGCCGCCCGGCCCCGCCCCAGGCCGGGCGCGGTCGGTCCCACGCCCCACCGGGGGCCTCGCTTGGGTCCGCTGTGTGCGCGGGCGGGTGAGTGTGCGGCGAGGGTGCAGGGTGTGCAAATAAATACAGGGGAGAGTTACACTCCTTCCTGTCTCAAAGTCCGGCGCCTGGAAGCCGAAGGCAGATTTTTCTAGAGATAACAAAGACACTTTGTCACTTTGGGCGCTGCCTCGGTGCAAATCTTTAATTGCAAGTGTGGGGGGGGGGGTTGGGAGGGCGGGAAGAGTGTCTCGAGCAACCCAAGCGCGGGTCTCCAGGCGGCAAGGCCCCCTTTGATCAGGAAAATCCAATTATTTGTGTATATACATTTCCCACATAGTGATTACTTCATTAATTGTCCCGCCTTTATCTCCTCCCTTCCCATCCCCCCTAATAATCAGTTCTTTTATCCAGACCAACAAACACACCATAGGAGCTTTGTGGATTCAAAGGATTTGCTTTCGCTTCTGAAAGAGCCTCTATTCTTTGATGATTGGGTAGCGGCAAACTTCAAAGCCATAAATCTTCCCTCTGACTGGCTGGCGGCCCAGCAAAGTCCTTATCAAATTCTTGGAGGTGATCCTGAAGCGCTCAGACCGCGCGCGGGGCTAGCGAGCGGGGCGCGGCGAGGGGCGAGGGCGGGGAGGGCCCCGGCGCGCAGAGCAGGCGCCGGGGAGGCAGGCTGGGCGGTCGTTCGTCCTCGCCTTCGGGTGTCCATGCCTCGGTGGCGGCGCCCCGCTCCGCAGCCAGCGGCCTGCAAGCCGTAACCATGGCCGCGGTGGCCGTCCTCCGGAACGACTCGCTGCAGGCCTTTCTCCAGGTTAGGGCCGAGCCCGGAGGGGGCGGGAGAAAGGTGGAAAAGGCCACGTCCGGATCTCTCCTGGTACTCCCTGCACCTTGAACCTCAAAGGGAACCCAACCGATGGGTGCAGCTGGAGCCTGGCCTAGGGGTACCCACGCCAACTTCACACCTAATCCGGTGTGGCCTTTGCGGGAGGGACGCGTGGATCCGGGATTGTTCGGAGGTGCCCGGCTGGCCGAGAACAGGACGGGAGCTCACCCTGCTGGGCCCTCCTGCTGACTTCAGCCTGGGGCGGGCCGGGGAGGAGCGCGAGGGCAGTGAGGACAAGAGAGCTTAAAAGATGGGAGGGAGGGTGCCCGGGCGGCGGGGTTGTGGGTGTTTCCGGACTCTTACTGACCACCGAGCCGGGAGCGGCCCGTCGGACGCCTCCCCCTCCCACTTTGCGCCTGCTTCCTCTAAGGCTGGACGGCGTCTCAGTGCACCAAGTAGTTTAGCAAGAAGCGCTCGCGTGCCCCACGTTCAGGTAGTGCAGGCACCAAAAGTTTCCCGCGGCCGGTGGGTGCGTGCGTGGAGTGCGGTGGCGGGGGAGGGACGGCCGGGACGGAAGAGTGGCGGCAGTATAATAGTGGGCGTGGGGTCGGCGGGCTGGCCCGGAGTCCGCGCTTGGAGCTAACCTTTTGTCTCTTCTCCTCCCTCCCTCGCCGCCTATGCAGGACCGCACCCCCAGCGCCTCCCCGGACCTGGGCAAGCACTCGCCCCTGGCACTGCTGGCCGCCACCTGTAGCCGCATCGGCCAGCCTGGCGCGACGGCGCCCCCGGACTTCCTGCAGGTGCCCTACGACCCCGCGCTGGGCTCACCCTCCAGGCTCTTCCACCCGTGGACCGCCGACATGCCGGCGCACTCGCCAGGCGCACTGCCGCCCCCGCACCCCAGCCTGGGGCTGACGCCGCAGAAGACGCACCTGCAGCCGTCCTTCGGGGCTGCGCACGAGCTTCCCCTCACACCCCCCGCCGACCCCTCGTACCCCTACGAGTTCTCGCCGGTCAAGATGCTGCCCTCGAGCATGGCGGCTCTGCCCGCCAGCTGCGCGCCCGCCTACGTGCCCTACGCGGCGCAGGCCGCGCTGCCGCCCGGCTACTCCAACCTGCTGCCCCCGCCGCCGCCGCCGCCCCCGCCGCCCACCTGCCGCCAGTTGTCACCCAACCCGGCCCCCGACGACCTCCCGTGGTGGAGCATCCCGCAGGCGGGGGCCGGACCGGGGGCCTCCGGGGTTCCGGGAAGCAGCCTCTCCGGAGCCTGTGCCGGGGCTCCCCACGCGCCCCGCTTCCCCGCCTCTGCGGCCGCTGCTGCTGCGGCCGCCGCCGCCCTGCAAAGAGGCTTGGTGTTGGGCCCGTCGGACTTTGCGCAGTACCAGAGCCAGATCGCCGCGCTGCTGCAGACCAAGGCCCCCCTGGCGGCCACGGCCAGGAGGTGCCGCCGCTGCCGCTGCCCCAACTGCCAGGCGGCGGGCGGCGCCCCCGAGGCGGAGCCGGGCAAGAAGAAGCAGCACGTGTGCCACGTGCCGGGCTGCGGCAAGGTGTACGGGAAGACGTCGCACCTGAAGGCGCACCTGCGCTGGCACACGGGCGAGCGGCCCTTCGTGTGCAACTGGCTCTTCTGCGGGAAGAGCTTCACGCGCTCGGACGAGCTGCAGCGGCACCTGCGGACTCACACGGGCGAGAAGCGCTTCGCCTGTCCCGAGTGCGGCAAGCGCTTCATGCGCAGCGACCACCTCGCCAAGCACGTGAAGACGCACCAGAATAAGAAGCTCAAAGTCGCTGAGGCCGGGGTTAAGCGGGAGGACCCGCGGGACCTGTGAGCCCTCCCGGAGGTGGACCCCCTTCCCAGCACCTCTGCGGGAGATCCGGGGACCTGTGGGCAGCTGGCGGAGGGGAGACTCAGCAGACGGACCCTCCCTGTTGCCTGCCTCCCAAAATGGAGCCAGGCTCCCAGCTTCCCCTACCCTCGGACACAGGGACCTAGTTCCCAGGAGCGGGGAGGTAGGGTTGGTGCTGGGGCATTTGGGTTATAATTGGGAGCTCTGCCTTACCCCAGGGCGGTTCCAAACTCTAAACCGTTCCCACCGTCTGGGAGACCTACAGTTTTGGGGGACCACCCTGGGCTGGCCTTGTATATAGGAAATGCTGCTGAAATGAAGCGAAAGGAACTTGGGAGATTTGAAATAGTGCTCGGGTTTTCGCTAGGACCGGTTTGGGCTTTGTACAGGTTATTTAATGGCTTTGTTAAAAATAATTATAATAATTATAACATTAATAAAAATGTTGCTTTTGTCTTCAGCTCCATGCAGAGCTACAGCATGATATGTCTCTGTAAAGTGATCAGCAGTTGCACCGTGAAAATAAATACGTTAACTCAGGGGTCACTACAGGAAGACCCCGCTGAGCCGGTCTCATTTGATCTTTTCTTCTTCTGGGAGGCTGTACTAAGGGGTAGGGTTTCACCGGGAATTTGATGGTTCCTATAGTCTCCCTATGTCGGAGGTTTCTTTGGTTTGGAAGAATCTGGGCAAATGTGTTGGGTTCAGGAATGGAAAAAGGCAGGCAATTCCGTTTTGTGGTAAAGAGGTAGGGCAAGATTTTTCAATCACAACTTGAGTTTCTCTTGCGGCCTTAGGACTTCACCCGAGACTGTTTCTCTTTCAAGTTTGCTTTTACCTCACGAATTCCTTGTGGCTTTCCATTTGTTGGTACTCTCGGGACAGGTTACAACTATGCTGGTGTTAAGAGAGGTATTAGAGGCGCGAGGGTCTGTTCACAGGTGAGACTTTGGGGAGAGGTACAGAGAAAAGGGACCCTTGTTCACCTGGGAAAAAACCAAGAAGATAGTTTGCCAGACGTTACTCCTGTATTTCAGTCCCGTCACGATACCCAGCGTTGTCTTGCTTGTTTTCTTCTTAATCTTGCTGTGGAAATCTTAACAAGTCTTATTTCACAGTAACAACCCAGGGATTTCTGGTTAGGCCAGGACGTTTAGTTCCATTTTGTATCTGAATTTTATTATGTTTTAAATCATTGAAGTAGTCTAAGATTTTCTCAGGGAAGAACCAGGAATACTCACAGTTTGGAAATGTGGAAATAGGGTATTTTTTTGTGTAGGTGCCTCGCCTTTCTCTAAAAGTTGAAGTTTTGAAGTTTACAAATGTTTTATCAAGTGTCTAACTCCTTGATATTTTCTAATATTTGAGTTTTTAAACCTGTAACTGCACGTTTAATCAGCAGTTAAATCTTCTGACTTAAGATTAGCAAAGAATAGAAAATGTTCTAAATTTTATTAACATGTTAAGCTAGCATCATTAATGCCGAATTTTAATAGAGCCGAATAATCTTTTCATGATAGTAGAAGTGTCTACAAATTGATAGGATTTCACAGTTTACAAACTGCTTTTACCTTGCCTTTTGTTTGAAGTCAAACTGAAGGATCAGTTCTTAAAAGCTTTGAGGGTTGTTCTTGAATTCTTATATGAAGTAAAACACAAACATCAACATAATTCGGGTGAAAATTACTTTTATACTCCTAAGAAATAGCATTTTTTTATTCTGTAACTTGGGACAAGGTAGTAAATGAGTATTAGATTCATAGTGGCAATATGCCATAGAATAACGGATACTGGAACTATTTAATGACTAATTAGAATGTGAGTCTTCATGGTTCTTCACCTGGTAAGAGGAGTTTGGGTTAAATTTTCAAGCGTGTGGCAGTTTTGCAAGCAATAGTGATGAAGTTGCTAGGCAGTAACATTAATATACACCTAAATATGTAATCTTAATCAAAATCATTAGATCTAAGTCATTATATTAAGATTACACATTTTGATGTATAAATCAATGTGAAAAGTTACAGAAACTCTCACCTTTCCCTAAAAAGTTACAGAAACTCCCATCTGAACCATACCCCAGGATTAACTATAGATTCAGAAAAGGATTTTTGAAAAGTTTTGGGAAAGAGGAATCCTTGTTAGAGAGTGAAAAGACCAAGGGCTTTGGTCTTTTTGAAATGATTTGAAATGATTCTTTCATCTAAAAGAATGACCTTGGTAGAGAAAGAAAAATAGCAATTTAAAAATGAGTCTACTAGCTATTATTGACAGAGCCAATCATTTATTTAGTATCCAAACAGAAGAAGTGTTGAAGATAAAGTTTTCTTATAATTTTTTTGGTTAAGCATATGGAATTTAATATCTAAAGAAATGAGATATTGGAGATAGATAACTCTGTGGTTATTAAGAGGAAAAACTAGATAAACTATATACAATTTTTTAAAGCAGAACAAAGTTATATGACAAAATAACTTTCTTATGGTTTTACTTAATTGCACCTGCAAATTGAAAAAGTATGGTCTTTAACTTGGTACAACTGAAAGGCTTGCTGATTGTACACTGCAAATCTGATAGAATTTGTAACATTTAAAAAGTAGGCAGCATTTAAAAAGTAAGTTTAATCCACCAACTTTATTCAAGGTTTCACTTAAAGATCCCAGCACACAATTCAATTAAGTTTAAAAAACTAATTGAAGAAAATATGTTAATGATTGCCTCAAATGTCAGTAGACATTGTAGATTTTAAAGCAACTGTTTTGTTAGCATGCAAATATAATGTAGAGTGTTACATTCTTTAAAAATACTAAAATTCGTGTGATGTTACTTTAATTTTAACAGTTTTTGGACCATTTTGAGCAAGAGCATGGAAACATGGAGAAATTGAAATATCAGTAAATTAGAAATTAGTAAACTGAAATATCAGTTAATTTAGAATTGTGCATTTCTGAATTTATTAACACTGTAGTTTTCTGCTTTTCTCAAGAAAAAATTGTGTAGTAATACCCTTAACTGATCACTAGTTTTAAATAGTTCTGATAATGAATGAAAGTAAATAATGTTAAAGAAAATACAATTGTAATCTCCATGTTATTCTCTAGTTTCAACTAGTGTTTAAATCTTGTGACTATATTATATTTTCTTTTTTTTTTTTTTTTTTTTTTTTTTTTTTGAAATGGAGTCTCTCTCTGTCGCCAGGCTACAGTGCAGTGGCACCATCTCAGCTAACTGCAACCTCTGCCTCCCGGGTTCAAGCAGTTCTCCTGCCTCAGCCTCCTAAGTACCTGGGACTACAGGTGCGTGCCACCACACCTGGCTAATTTTTGTATGTTTAGTAGAGACGGGGTTTTACCATGTTGGCCAGGATGGTCTCGATCTCCTGACCTTATGATCTGCCCACCTTGGCCTCCCAAAGTGCTGGGATTACAGGCGTGAGCCACTGTGCCCTGCCTTATATTGTATATTCTTTTAAATTATTTTACCTTAATCAAACAAGACATGCCAATTAAAAAATGAATCTTGCCAAGAATGCCTCTTGCAGAAACCTATTTGAAACAATGACATTTGTAGAAAAGTCAGGTTTTTTTTACCCCAAGATGTACTCTTTTCTATTCTAATATTGTGGTGTTTTAAGTATTAGTTTAAAGCAACATCGTCAGTGTTTTCTATTTATTTCATTTCTGCTATGACTGTTTCACAGAATGTTTTTATAGCTGTAGCTATGACTTCAAATTCATGTAAACATCTAGTAAGTTGTTTGGGACTCCAAAATTGCAAGCCACTTTACTTGCATTAGCTCATCACATTAAATAATGACAAGTCAAGGTAAGTTGACCATTCTCACTGGGAAATAGCCTGTGTTATAGAATCAGATTCAAACCTTAAGCTTTGTGTTATAGTAAGTGCAATTGTAGTTTGCTAATGTCCCAAATTGAGGGCCACTCAAAACAAGTGATATTAATTTTCTGTTAAATATCATGACCTTCTTCTGGTTTGCATGATAGAGAGAACTTTAAAAGAGTAAGAGACCCAGGGCAGTTTTGAAATGTTATGCACCAACATAGTTCAATAGAGTAGGAAAAAATAAGGAAAATAGATAAGATGTATGTTGGTAATGAGATATATGTTTAGATTAATACAACAAAAGAACATGTTTCATTATTGGACCACTATAATGGTAACCTGATTAGTGTGGCATGTGATTTATTTAATATAGACAGTAAATTTTTCTCTGATGTTGTTCAGACTCAACACATTTTTGTATAAAGATCTTGATGTCCGTTGCTCCTTCCTTGATTATTTTTAAAGAATCTGATATGTTGCCAGAGACAGCAGTGTTTCAGATTAATTTATGGACATTGTAGAATAATTTAATGTTCCTGACTATAATGAACAAGTGGTATTTGTTCAACAAAGATGTAATCAAACAGCTATGGACTGATAGTTTCTCAGTTGTTTTGCTATTACAACTTATTACCAATTGAAGATTTGTACATGAAGATTGATATAGTTTCATGCTGACATTTTGATGACTTCCCTTTCTAGACCTCATGCACTTTTCTTTCCGTGTCTTCAGCAATTATCTAAAGTATAATCCTCCACTGGATATTTGAGACTTAATTCATAAATCAACCCATGCATATGAACTATAGTAGTATCTGCACAACACATAATAACCCACATTAACTAATATATTTTGGTTGTCTACCTAATACCAAAATTTAATTCAGGGTAAATAAACCCAGCTCTCAGTTTGATACCACCGGGAAAATCTGCAGCTTTCCCTTTTTAAAAAGTTGTTTCGGCAGTATGAAGATTCATTATGCCTATTTTGAAATGGAAGTTTGTTTAACAGTAAAACTATTCATCTAATATTTTCATTACTTGTCAAAATTCTGACATCAAAATACACTAAAATTTTCTAAAGTCTAAGGCAGTGTCTTCATGTCATCTGATTTTTTCATATAGTTAAACCAGTCATATATGGGTGCTTTCTAATCATTTTATGTTTAGCATAATCTAAAACACAGATGGAAAACATCTGGCCCTCAGCTTAATTTTACCCAATTCATGAGGCAAATATCAAGGCTAACTCATTTATGCTTATGGTTGGGAAAATGTGTCCTAATTTTAAAAATATTTGGTGGCAACTTCCTAAAAGTCTACATCAGATACCATGAAAGCTCATTTCTCTTATCTCTATGTGAGTTTTATTCTTATAAATTCTATGTCTTGCTTTCTTTTCCATTCTGACTTGTGGATGTCACATGTCTTCTATATATTCATGTCCATCTCTAGCATGGAAACTTTCATTTTGTGTCATGTGTCTCTCTTGCTTTTCTCAAAGTATTTATGTCCATGATTTTATTTTGCTCCCAATAATGCAGAACTCAACAGGATTCTAAACTGTAGTAGTTTAAATCTATTGTTTCGGTTTTTTATTGTTGTTGTTGTTTGAAACAGAGTCTCACCCTGTCACCCAGGCTGGAGTGCAGTGACACGATCTTGGCTCACTGCAACTTCTGCCTCCTGGATTCAAGTGATTCTCCTGCCTCAGCCTCCCAAGTAGTGGGATTACAGGTGCCCGACATCACACCCAGCTAATTTTTTTTTTTTTTTTTTTTTTTTGAGACAGAGTCTCGCTCTGCCACCCAGGCTGAAGTGCAGTGGTGCTGTGTCCGCTCACCGCAAGCTCCACCTCCCGGGTTCACGCCATTCTCCTGCCTCAGCCTCCCGAGTAGCTGGGACTACAGGCGCCCGCCACCACTCCCGGCTAGTTTTTTGTATTTTTTTAGTAGAGACGGGGTTTCACCGTGTTAGCCAGGATGGTCTCGATCTCCTGACCTCGTGATCCGCCCGTCTCGGCCTCCCAAAGTGCTGGGATTACAGGCTTGAGCCACCGCGCCCGGCCTTGACTGTATTTTTAATAGACATTTGTATTCTTTGGTGTAAATTTTACAAGTGCATGAATTAAATTTATAGTTCTATTTGTTGATTCAATTCATATTTTATTTAGTACATTGCTGATGTTTCCTGTGAATTTGTGAACATCAGTAGGAAAAATACATGGCAATTGAAAGTAAAATTATAAAATATAATGGTTTGAGGTAATACTTGTTTGATTTTAGTAAGTAAAAAATATACAAATGAAGTATATTTATATACCTAAGTCATTAAACATAGCCCTTTATTTCTTGAGCTATAATTTTAATAAGGGGGAATGTGAACTAAGACCTATAAGCACATAGCTATGTATATTTCTCATTGTGGTTATTACCTTTGATGGAGACTTGTTTTTCTTTTAAGCCTTTTTCTCCCCTTTTTGATCGTTGAAGTCCATGTTGTCTCTTGATAGTACTGCAGACAACTGCCAGGAAAGTCATCATGGTAAGAAATTCTGTAGTGAGCCTGGGTTTGAAGTAGAAAGTTGCCAAATTGTTTTCTAGAGAGAAAGCACTCCCTTCCTCAGTCATGATTCAGACTTGTCAATAGCAAGCCTGTGTGCCCTGAGCAGCCAGCAGCTAGAGGCTGTGGGGCTGTGGCTGCCCCCTTGCTTCTGGAGCAGGGAGATCTAGGAATAAGGACAGGGGAACCAAATGGGGAATAACAGACGTGGGGAATATCCTATCTAAACAGGATATCAAAAGGGGTTGAAATAGGGTCATTGAGTAGAAGTAGAAAGGCAAGGTTCGAGCACCTTCTCAAATTTGGAATGGACCCCAGGAAGGAAGGTGCCTCCCTCACTCCAGGTTTTTGGAATTTTGTGTTTTGTGTTTTTCGTTTTTTTTAACTAAAGGTGAGTATGAGTAGGCTGTAGAGGAGATGTGGTGGACTTTAAGGACCTTTGGACTTGAATTATCCTTATGGTCTGTTCCAAAGCTGAAATGCCTCAGATCTAACATCTGTAAGCCAAAAAGTCTGAATAAATCTTATTTTAGCTGGGCACAGTGGTACATGCCTATAATCCCAGCTACTTGGGAGGCTGAGGCAGGAGAATCGCTTGAACCCAGGAGGCGGAGGTTGCAGTGAGTGGAGACCACGCCACTGCACTCCAGTCTGGGTGGCAGAGTGAGATTCTGTCTCAAAAAAAAAAAAAAAAACAAAAAAAAACCCCGAATATATGAGCTGCATACTTAACTTGATGTTTGTTATTTATAATTATTACATGTAGGAAACTAGGCACAAAACATGTATACATAACTAAATTCAATTTGCCAAACAATGATTTGAAGTCTACAAGATGTAAGGTACAATGAGGATTTAAAGATGAACACAGTCCTTCAAAGAGCTCACAGTCACAAAGGAGATAAAACATAGGCACAAATGAATGTAATACAAGGCCTAATGCCTGATAAAAGCGACCAACAAAACTCCTCTAAAAACACAAAGGAAAGAGAAATTACTTCAGGTAATAACAATGATAAACTGTTTTATTCCACAAATGGATATTCTGCTTTGAAAAACAATCTCCAGACTGCATCTATGGCATTCAGAATCCAATCAGAATCCAATTCAGAGGTGTTAGTTCAAGACAGTGTGGTCCCCAGACCTGCAGCATCAGCATCACTTGGGATCACTGGTTAGAAATGCAGATTCTCGGGTCCAACCGCCAGACTTACTAAATCAGAAACCCTGGGAATCTGTGTTTTAACCAGCCCTCCAGGTGATTCTAATGCATGCTGATGTTCGAGAACCACTGGTTTAGGAAACCGCACATTTTAACCATGTGCAAGATGGAAAATATGTAAGCAAATTCTAGCCTAAGACATTTCTCACAAGTTACTTTGGGAAAATAGAAAATGGATAGACTGGCTGGGCACAGTGGCTCACGCCTGTAATCCCAGCACTTTGGGAGGCCAAGGCAGGCAGATCACCTCAGGTCAGGAGTTCAACACCAGCCTAGCCAACATGGTGAAACCCCACCTCTACTAAAAATACAAAAATCAGTCGGGTATGGTGGCACGCGCCTGTAATTCCAGCTATTCCGGAGGCTGAGACAGGAGAATTGCTTGAACGCAGGAGGCGGAGGTTGCAGTGAGCCAAGATCGCACCATTGCACTCCAGCCTGGGTGACAAAGCAAGATCCGTCTCAAAAAGAAAAAAAAGAAAGATGCCCAAAAAGAAAAAAAAAGAAAATGGATAGACCATTTGGCTGAAATTCTCACCCAATTGAGAATATTGGGCTCTAACTCTCAATGAGAATACAGTAATGGTCTTAATTAAATATTGATCCTTACATGCATGTTATGTAATTATGTAGACAATTGTCCTTTTTATAGTATGTAATACCAATAGAGGATTTACATTTTGAATTATAAATCATACATTTTATATGTTAGTGGAACTTTCCCCATTAAGTCGAACAGTGACTTTAGCAATATCTGGTTTCCTAAAGGGAATACTCAGCTAACTAAGCAATATTTAGTGTCATTAGATGATTAATAACCAAACATCATGAGTCATATATAAACTCCACCACTAAGAGTAAAAATCACGTATCTATTCTGTGCTGCAGAAATGCAATGATGGCTCTTCTAAAAGATAAGCATAGTCACCACCAGCCTCTGTTTTGCTACAATAGCTTTTTGAAACTACCCACAGGGAAGTGTAGAAGCCTGGAGCTTCTCTGTAGTACACATGAAAAACTTAGAACATTGTGGACATTTAAACCAAGAATGTTCACTTTCCTCTGGTTCTACCCATTCCTCATTGGTCCACCTTTTTTCTCCTCTACAAAGTCTTTCTTGCTCAAAGTGCATTTCAGGGCTGTATCCCAGACCAGAACATGATTTAGTAAAATTTTTTTGGCAGTTTATTTCTGACCTTTGGGATTATAGAAAGCTGCTGGGAATTACCAGTACCAGGGAAGCCTGTAACATAAATGAAAATACCTCTATGATTCTATGATTTTTTTTTTTCAGAGAATGGGCTCCTCACTCTGCCCCCAAGTCTAAATTATCCAATCATCATTGTTTGGGGTCCTTTAGGAGGCCCCCAGTGAACAATAACAAGAAGCTAGGATGATGCTGACTGTAGCATATTCCCAAGGTGTCCCCACTCCCTGAGAGATCAAGGGAGCTCTCAACGATGAGATAAATCTTCCCAGCCACAACTTACAGAATTTAGCATGTTGGGTTGGAGACTTAAAAATCACTGACTCTGAGGCTGGGCACAGTGGCTCACACCTGTAATCCTAGCACTTTGGGAGGCTGAGGTGGGTAGATCACCTGAGGTCAGGAGTTCAAGACAAGCCTGGCCAACCATGGCCAACATGGTGAAACCCCATCTTTACTAAAAATACAAAAATTAGCTGGGCGTGGTGGCAGGCGCCTATAATCTCAGCTAATCGGGAGGCAGGAGAATCACTTGAACTGGGGAGGCAGAGGTTGCAGTGAGCCAAGATCAGGCCACTGCACCCCAGACTGGGTGACAGAGGGAGACTCTGTCTAAAAAAAACAAAAATCAGCAACTCTGACCCTCTCATTTAACAGAGGAGAAAACAGACAGCATGCCAGATCCAATGAAACCATCATTATCCATGTGCATTAACAAGTAAGCACATTCGGCCGGGCGCGGTGGCTCAAGCCTGTAATCCCAGCACTTTGGGAGGCCGAGACGGGCGGATCACGAGGTCAGGAGATCGAGACCATCCTGGCTAACACGGTGAAACCCCGTCTCTACTAAAAAAAATACAAAAAACTAGCCGGGCGTGGTGGCGGGCGCCTGTAGTCCCAGCTACTCGGGAGGCTGAGCCAGGAGAATGGCTTAAACCCGGGAGGCGGAGCTTGCAGTGAGCTGAGATCCGGCCACTGTACTCCAGCTTGGGCAACAGAGCGAGACTCCGTCTCAAAAAAAAAAAAAAGAAAAAAAAGAAAACAGGTAAGCACATTCAATAGGAATCCAGCAGCCTAGCAAAGGGAGAGACGGTTGAGGAGCATAGAGACTGAGAGAAGACTCAGAGAAGAAGTATGGAGAGAAGCTTTGGTCTGAAGTTGCCAAAGAAATAGGAATGGTGGCTTTCAGATTTTTACATGCATGAAAATTACTTTAGATGCTTATTCAAATGGAGGATCCTGAGCTACATCCCTAGAACTGCTAATTCGTTTGGTCTAGGGGTGAGGAAGCTGGTTTCATTATAACCATCACCCCAGTAACTCTAAGACAGGTGGGTGGAAGATCACCATTAGAGAAATGCTTCCTTACGAGAGAAAACTAGTGAATGGGGTAACATCTACACATTTTGACAATGGCAAATGCTCAGGTAATAAATCCATATCTAATTTTCCTTTTTAAAAAGTCCACAGCTGATTGTTGAGGTCTGACACAATATATTCCATGATTCGAAGAGGAGAAGTGACTTAGAAGCTTTATCTTATTTACCTGGGTCTGTGCCAAATGCTGTAGTAGATGTCATGATCCTTTCCCTGTCAAAATATAAGAATAAAGACACTAAATGATCGCTTGGGTTTGCTAAATTCCCAACTAAAATTAATTAAATTCTGAACCGAAGTCACAAAAATTGAGTTTATATGTTCTAGATATTTTATTCTAGGCTCATATCTTTCTGTGACAGTTCAGAATCAAAGAGTCATTGAGGTTTATAACCAAAATGATTTCAGAGTTCACCAAATCAAACCTCTTTATTGTACAGATGAAGCAACCAATACTTATCAAGGTCCAGCCCTCGTAGAGTTTGCATTCTAGTAAAGTCACCGTGTTGTAAAATCGTACTCCCTCACCTGATGTCTTACCTCTTTATCATTCCACTCACTTTTGGATTCGTGTATTCCACAAGTATTTGTTAAATATTTACAGCTGGCACAGGTGAACATCCATCATGAAAAAGTCATACAAAGTTCTTGTCCTCATGGAGCCAGCAGTCTAGTAAGAAATACAGAAAGTTGGCAGGGAATATTTAGGAACACCAGGAGAGCAGAGGCTATTCACTACCACATACCAGAGCCTAATATAGTGCCTGGTACATACTATATACTCAATAAGTATTTTGTTGTGAATATAAGGTACTACAAGTATGGTCAGTATAGTAAACAAGGCATAGTTTTAACTGGTAGTGTCTCTTCCCATTGGCATCTATAAGAGGTGGGTTCAGATTAAAGACCAGAATGCCTTTCTTCCTTGAGCTGTTTGAGTGGGGATATGGTGGTGGTTCTAGGAAGCTGCTAACTGTCTCTCTCTATCTCTCCCAGAATCCTGGGTCTGATGGCTTCTCTGAGGCAATCTCAACTTCCCAATGCCTAACAGTCATTCCTTTGCATTCCCCAAGTCTCATTTCTCCAGCTTTTAAAGACATTCCCCTACCACTACCTTCCTGGCTATTATCATAATCTAAACTAACTTAGAAGAGTATGTTGAGTGACCATTCAAAGGCCAAAAAAAAAAAAAAAAAAAAAGCAAAAACCACAAGGCAGGAGGTGGAAGAAGCCACAGCTGAAGAGAGAAGGAGAGTGGCTCAGATGGAGAAGAGGTGGTAGTGGTGTGGGTGTATGTTGTGTGGAAGACTGATGGATCTGGAGATGTGGAAGGGCCATGCCTCAGAAGGAACAGGTATGGTGCTCCTAAGACAGTTAGACCCAGAGCAGCAGTCTTAATAAAGACCCCTATGTATTAGTTATTTTTTGTTGCAACAAATTACCACCAACTTAGAGGCTTCAAACAACATACATTTATTATCTCGCAAGTTCTGTGCATCAGAAGTCCAGGCACAGTTTAGTTGCTTTATCTGCTTCAGGGTCTTTCATAAGGCTACACTGAAGGTGTCAACCAAGGCTGGGGTCTAATTTGAAGCCTCGATTGGTAAGGGATCCATTTCCAAACTCAAGTGGTTATTGGTAGGATTCAGTTCTTTGTAGGTTATTGGACTGAGGACTTCAGTTCTTTGCTGGCTATTGTCTGGAGACTGACTTTAGTTTCTTGCCATATGGGCCTCCCCAACATGGCTGCTTCATCAAAGCTTGCAAGCTGCAAAGGCAATAAAGTCTGCTAGGAAAATGGAGGTACATCTTTAATAATCTAATCGTAGAAGTGGCAGCCTATCAACATTCTATTAACTTGAAGGAAGTCATTCAAGAAAAAGGGATTACACCAGGGCTCGAGTACCAGGAGACAGGAATCATTTGGGGCCATTTTAGAAGCCACCTACCACACCCTGTGATGCACATTGTCAGTAATATGGAGTTACATATATAGGCCATAAAGACTTGGGCAAAGAGTTTCTCAGCATCAGTCATGATGCTTTCCTACTGATGAGAGACTGTCAATCCCCACCCATTCATATTTTCTTTCTTCCTTTTGGTAATAGTAACCCCCAAGTTTTTGGGAGGTACATGACTGTCCATCTAGAGATGACATATCCCAGCCTCACTTGCAACTAGCAGTGGCCATATGACTAAGTTCCCACCAATGGCACATGTGAGCCTAAGTGATGTATGTCACTTCTAGGTCACATCCTTAAAAGAAAGTTGCATGCTTTCCCTTTCTTCTTTTCTCTTTCTTGAGGCTGCAATGCAGACATGATGGTGGGCATTCAACTCAATCATGTGGATAGGACAACACCCCGGAGGATGGCAAAGCAACAAAACAGAAGGCATAAGCGTCCTCAGACCATCACATGAAGCAGAGCAGCCCACCTTTCCTGGGCTGCCTACCAGCTGGACTTTTATTTGAAAGACAGACCATCTTGTTTAACCCATTGTTACTTGGTGCCTATTAGAGCAACTAAACAAATATCCTAAATGATAGATCACAAAATGCTTCTAAGGCAGTTATTAACAGTGTTCCTGGTGAGTCTTCCTGGGACAGCTATGAATTACATCCTTTTAAAAGAGTACCTGAGAAAGCAAGCCCAGGTGATATCACCTTTTAAACTCCTCTTAAGCTGTGTTTGCTGATGTCCTCAAAATGAGTTCTCACCCACTCAAGGGTGTCTTCTTAGGATGCTGCTATGGAAAACTCCATCACTGTTTTCCAGTTTCGCCCATACTCAGGTACCCAGAGGACTTCACTCATGTGATTCTTCATTTATTTCACTATTTTTTTTTTTTTTTTTGAGACGGAGTCTCGCTCTGTCGCCCAGGCTGGAGTGCAGTGGCGCGATCTCGGCTCACTGCAAGCTCCGCCTCCCGGGTTCACGCCATTCTTCTGCCTCAGCCTCCTGAGTAGCTGGGACTACAGGCGCCACCACCACGCCCGGCTCATTTTTTTTGTATTTTTTAGTAGAGACGGGGTTTCACTGTGTTAGCCAGGATGGTCTCGATCTCCTGACCTCGTGATCCGCCCGTCTCTTGTCTCTTAACTGCCTCCGACTGAAGGAGACGCATTATTTCCACAAACATTCCATTGGTGAGAATTAGTCCCATGAACACACCTAGAAGCATAGAGGATGGGAAACATAGAGAAGCACATGGATATTTGTTGAACACTAACTGTGATTTGCCAACATGCTCATCATAAAAACTCAAGTAGGTCCGGGCACGGTGGGGCATGCCTGTAATCCCAGCACTTCGGGAGGCTGAGGCAGGGGGATCACCTGAGGTCTGGAGTTCAAGACCAGCCTGGTCAATGTGGTGAAACCCCATCTCTACTAAAATTACAAAAATCAGCCAGGCATGGTGGTGGGCACCTGTAATCCCACCTACTTGGGAGGCTGAGGCAGGAGAATCACTTGAACCCAGGAGGCAGAGGTTGCAGTGAGCCAAGATCATGCCATTGCACTCCAGGCTGGGCAAAAGGAGCAAAACTCGTCTCAAAAAAAAAAAAAAAAAAAAAAAAAAAAAAAAAAATTCAAGAGGCTGGGCACAGGGGCTCACACCTGTAATCCCAGCACTTTGGGAGGCTGAGGAGAGTGGATCACTTGAGATTAGGAGTTTGAGACCAACCTGGCCATCATGGCGAAACCCTGTCTCTACTAAAATTACAAAAATTAGCCAGGCATGGTGGTGTGCACCTGTAGTCCCAGCTACTTGGGAGGCTGACACAGGAGAATCGCTTGAACCCAGGAGATGGAGGTCACAGTGAGCTGAGATGGTGCCACCGCACTCCAGCCTGGGTGACAGAGTGCAACTCCATCTAAAAAAAAACAAAAAAAATTAAGTAGAAAACGCAAGTAGACAATAAAAGGGTTGCCTTATCCTCTACCTCTCATTGAAAAAAAAAAAAACTACTGTTAACATTTGGCTCATTCATTAAATCAACACATCTTTATGTATCACCTTCAGAGTCTCCCTTGCCCTGTCCCAGATGCTGGATATGATTCCTAACCTCGTGGCTTCCAGTTTGAGTGTGTGTGTGTGTGTGTGTTTGTGTGTGTGTGTGTCATTTCCTCATTTGCAAACTGGTTATAATAATAGTGTCTAACTTATAGGGTTGTTGTGGGGATTAAGTTATACAGATTAATGTGGAATACTACTCAGCCACAAAAGGGAATGAAATAATGGCATTTGCAGCAACCTGTATAGAGTTGAAGACTATTTTTCTAAGTGAATAGAATAACTAAGTGAATTGAATAACTCAAGAATGGAAAACCAAACATTGTATATTCTCTTTTATAAGTAGGAGCTAAGCTATGGGGACACAAAGGCATAAGAATGATATAATGGACTCTGGGGACTCAGGGGTAAGGGTAGGAGGGGAGTGAGTGATAAAAGACTACACAGTGGGTACAGTGTACGCTGCTCAGGAGATGGGTACACCAAAATCTCAGAAATCACCGCTAAAGAACATTTCCGTGCAACCAAACACCACCTGTTCCCCCCAAATTATTGAAATTTAAAAAAGAAAAAAATTCATTCATTAAAAAATACAATATATAGATTAAATAACTTAGAAAAATGGTACCTAACAAGTACTCAATAAAATTTTTTTGCTATATATGCACAATATAAATATTTACTTTAATAAAAATAGTATTATACTACTTATATGTTCCTACTCTATGGTCTACTCCTTAAACCCTTTCAGTAATGGGGCTGAATTTCTACTTCAAAACATAGAAGATGGAGTTCATCATTTTAACCACTTTATCCATTGTCTGGATTTATCCTATATTTAGCCCAGAGGTTCACAGATGTGGGATTCATGAATGGGCATTCTATGCTGTTATAGATGGAATGTTTCTGTCCCCTCAAAATTCATATGTTGAAATCCTAACCCCCCATGTGATGGTACTAGGAGGTGGAGCCTTTGGAAGGTCATTAGGTCATGAGGGTGAGCCCTCATAAATGGGATTACTGCCCTTATAAAAGAGACCCCAAGGAACTCCCTAGTCCTCTTTCTGCCATGTGAGGATGCAATGAGAAGTTGGCTGTCTGAAACCTGAAGAGGGCCCTCACCAGAACCCAACCATGCTGTTACTCTTATCTTGGGCTCCCAGCCTCCAGAACTATGAGAAATAAATTTTTGTTGTTTATAGGCTACCAGGTTTATGGAACTCTGTTATAGTAGCCAGAACTGACTAAGACATATGCAAATTTTTTAATGTCCAAATTTTTCTGGAGAGTGGATCCAAACTTTAGTTGAATCCTGAAAGACTTCATAATCCAAAAACAGTTGAGAACTGTGATTTAAATGGACGAATCCTTGACCTTGATCAAGTATGTTTACCTTTTTGTGCACCAGTCTCTACATCTGTGTGTTTAGTTAAATCATTCATCTTTCTGAACTGGGCATGGTGGCTCACGCCTGTAATCCCAGCACTTTGGGAGGCCAAGGCGGAAAGATCGCTCGAGCTTAGGAGTTCGACATCAGCCTGGGCAACATGGCGAAACCCATCTCTACTATAAATACAAACAAACAAACAAACAAAAAAGTTTAGCAGAGGATGGTGGCACGTGCCTGTAGTCCCAGCTACTTGGGAGGCTGAGGCCGGAGGATTGCTTGAATCCAGGAGGCAAAGGTTGCAGTAAGCTGAGATGGCGCCACTGCCCTCCAGCCTAGGTGACAGAGCAAGACCTTGTGTTAAAACTAAATATATAAAAATCATTTCTCTTTCTTTTCTGGAAATGTGAAAGCTTTCTAGAAAATAGATAAAAACAGGAACATAGAACCCAAACCAACAATTTTACTAGGTTTAAACTTAAAGATTCCATTATATTTCCAGCTCCTCAGTGGGACAGAATGAATTGTCAACCTCTTAGATATACTTGAGTTTAGTTAAACAACCCTTAAATATCTTCCCAGACCGGGCTTTAGAAATCTGATTTTCTGTTTTCTTTCTTCATAAGGCTTTTTTCCTCTGAAGAATATGGCCTCGTTTAGAATTTTCCCTCTTTATATTCACGCTAAAGCACCACTCTTGAGAAGATACACATGTTCCATTAAACACTTGAAAAGCACCCTTTTAATGTGTTCCCAGTGCTAGAACTTAATGCTGC